ATGAAGCCAATTACAAAAATAAACTAAATACAAAAAAAAAAAAACATTTAAAATTTCTCATAAGAAAAAAAAAACTACATACTAAATTTATCATTAAGTGAAATAAGCATATCAGATATAATAGCTGGTACTGGTTGATTATTATTACCAGTTGCTGATTCAACTTGTATAACTTTTTCAACTTGCCATTCTTTTAAATCATCTTGAAAATATCGAAATACAGAACTACCTAATGCACATACAACATAACCATATGATGTTGTTGGATTATGACAAAAACGTAATTCAAGTGGTATTAATCCATCTTTACCAAGATCAATTGTTTTTAAATATTTACGTTTTGACCAATCCCAAAAATGTAATGAATGACCATATTTATTTGAACTAACATCATCTGGATTAAAACCTAAATATAAAATCAACAATAAAGATTTTTGTTTTTTATTGTTTCATACCTTTATCAAAAATATTTGGAGCTGCCCATTCACTACTAACCATTATATTAGATCTTGGTTTATACCAAAAATCATAATAAAATTGAACTGGTAATGAATCATTTTCTTTATTCCATCGATCAATAACTTCAAAATTTTGATTAAGTAAAATAAAACCACCTGGTAATTCACCTTTAGCATTTCCCAAACATGAAATCATAATTTCACCACTACCTTTTTTTGTTTTTTTTTAAGAACAAACGAAAAACAAAATAGAAATTTTTTTAAATAAAATTTAAAAAATCTTTTTCTTTTTTTTCTTCTTTATTTACCTAAACAATGAACTGTATGTGGAGCAGTTAAATCGAATTTTTTTAATTCATCACTTTCTATTGTTTTATATATACTAGGTTTTTTTTCATCGGATGTATCAACAATATAAATTCTTGATGATTTAAAACCACCTAATATAATAAATCGTCGTTGTTTACTAGAATCATCATGACATGATGAACAAGCATTCCAACCAAAATGATGTAATTCATCATTTATATTTGGAACATACAATCGATGAATAACTTGTTGATAACTATGAGAAGTTGGATCAACATCAATAGTTGCTAAATAATTAGGTTGATCTTCTTGACATGGTATCATTGCAACATATAAGATTTTTTCACGTGGACCATTTTGCATAGCTTCAAGTGGACTAGCATAACCTGGTCCTTTTTTACAGCATGATGATGACATTATGAATCTAGAGCAATAAGAAAAATAAAATATGTCATAGTTATGTGTCTAATAGACATCCAAAAAATAAAATGTCGTTGTACATTTTCTCTATAGTAGGCAAGTGTATTTGTAAATATTATCTTCGTAAACAGAATGTGTATTGAAATATACCTTGACAATGTTTTATAAATAATATATTACAGAGAAAAGAAAAAAAAATCATGTTATTTCATTGGACAAAACCTGCATGTCGAGGACGAAAAACAAAGAAAAAGGCTTTTTTTTTTTCGTTATCTGATAAAACCAAAAGATAGACGGGAGAATAAAAAAAAAAAAATAAGTTAAATTTACTATTGCTCCATTAACAAAACCGATAGAATCATCTTAAAAAAAAATGATCTGATTTTATTTAGCAAGATGTACTGCATATATTATGTTATTCTCAGCAAAATGTAAAATAGCATAGTAATCTTTACATATGCAAAAAGACATGCACATGAATAGAATTATTTTCTTTCGGTAAATAAATAAAAATTTTAAGTTAAAATACAAGGTCAAAGAATCTATCTTATAAACATGGTTACAAGTACTTTACTGTTACATTTTTATCAAAATAGTTGAGTTTATATATGTAAGAAAGAAAAAACCAGAACCTGTATATTTATGGTGAAGCTTTGCGACTTTAACAAACGAAAAAAAAAAAGGAAAAGAGAGTGAGTAATAAGCTAGTAGGAATATTTTACCAGTCATCTTCTCTAACTTATGATATACTATTTATAGCTTTCATATTCACCTTGGGTTCGTCAATTTTCTTTTCTAAAAGAATATGTCATAGATATATATATAAACGATGATATATTGCATTACAGATATAAGCACGTTTATTTTCTTGCAATTATTATTTGATACACATTCTCACCAGTGACACCTACATGAAATTTTGAAGTAAATGAATAAATGTAGAATATTTTTAACGTGATAAAATCGAACATTATAAAAAGAAAAGAGAAATATAATTATTATCTACTCATTAAATGTATTGACATATTTCTATCATTCAAACAAAAGAAAAGTATCTAAGACACATGTACGACTTTGAAAAATTAACTGTGATTTTCATTTTACTACTGAAAAAGAAAAACGAAGTGCTGGCATGATACTGTTCAAAGTAGATATAGTACTTTGCTTATTTGTTGTACAAAGTTATTCTTCTTACTTTTGTTTATATATTGTACCTTCTAAATCAGAGACTAAACTCGAGTGAGGTGAATTACAACTATAAACATTGTTTATGTTCTGACAGTTTTCAACACACTATAATCCTATCTATCTTTAATGAGGATTTATATATTTCAATTAAGACGTGCTTTTATAATCGATAAGGCAGCATTTTCTAATTGTAAGGAGTGACTCATAAAGAATGAAACATTTTTATTTTCCTTTTCAGAAAACTAGAAAGTACATATGTCAATGTTTGATTATGCAAATGCAATAGTTCAAACATAATGAAATAAAATTCGTTCTCTTTTAGTACAATTTAGAATGTTGAAATAGAGATCAATGATTGAAAAATTATATAATTTCATTTGAAACTTGTTTTTAAATATTTTCTCATAGCTGAAACTCAAAAAACTGAATGTATTTTAGAAGATTACAATAGTTTACAGATGTTATATAATCAAGATTTTAATATACGATTCTAGTATTTTATTTTTGAACACATAAAATATCAATAACATAGTTTAAAATGGAATGTCAACTCAAAATGAGGTTCTGACTTAACGAAAAATTTTATTTGAGACAAGAAGATGAGTGAAAGATCCTTCCAATTTCAGCTTCTCAATATGTAATGTGCATAGTTAATAATTCTACAGGAGATGAAAATATTACAATTTTCGATATTAACTCAATATTTACAATTAACATGAAAGAGGTTGTATTAATTCTGGTCTTCAATGAAAATTAGTTTACATATAAACAAAGAGCGATACCTACTCAACTATATCTATATGAGCTTCTAATATTCAAGACGATGTTTTCAGAGGACATACTCTTTTCCTGACTCAAAAAAAAAAAGGTCTTTTTTTCGACTTCGAGGTTTTGAATTCTAGAGATGTATTGAAATGTTCTCTATTAAATTTCGTAAACATCAGAACTGTACCAAGCTAGTATAAGTTTTGAAAAAAATTAGTTTCGAGAACTTCTATCTTGACGAAAAAATGAAATAAAAATTTTTGCCGCGAGAAGAGTTTTCGACCATTTTTTCCCATTGCGAATCCTATATTTTCCTGCAAGAAGCATATAGGAATTTTTATTGAGATGTATCCGCCTTGAAAATTTCATCATTTTTTTTGTTAAGCCGTCTCCGAGAACCCACAACAAAATTCAGCTTTTTTTTTTCATTATCATGAGATAACTAATAATCATAAGCCATATTACAAAAATACAGAAATACTTTTGAAGAAAAGCTTGCTGAATTATTTACCACTATGGTCTCATTGAAATAGTACCAATATTTGATATTGTAACAATTATTTCTCAATATTTTATCAAAATAAGAAATTTCAACCTTTTTTTAAAATATTTCACATAACAAAAATACAGAGTGTGAATATGAATCTGGTTCTCCTCTTAATTTAGACCAATACACGCACTCACAAATCCACACCCTTTTTTCAATTCAAATACTACTCGAAATTTATACTCATATCGCTCCAATTCGTCGTATTTTTCGTATATTTAATCGGACATTAGGTAAGTTAAATAATCGTTGTTGGTAAATTAATCGTCTATATTCGATTGAATTACACTTTCTGTCTGTTCTTTTTCAGGTTGCATTGAGCACATTCGTTTTTTTCCCGCTTATTTATTTATTCATTTTTAATTACTATACTCCCTTAGCGATTCTTTCATTTTTCTCATTCATTTTATATCGCTCAATGTGTGGTGACCCACATTTTCACCTGTGGGCAGGCATGTTATAGGCATATACATGAAATATGTCTTCATATTCTATTACTATCGATGTCTAGTTTTCTTTGTTCATATTCTTTGATTCTTTTTTTGTTATATTAAACCATTCGAAGAAGAAACAGATCTCTCATACATACTCAAGTTAACATGTCTTCGAAGAGAAGTATGAAGTCATCCAGAGAGGTTTTTTTTTTGTTAAATGAATACTTTCGACAGCATAGGTATAAACAAGCAGGTATTCATGAAAAGAAAATAATTTTCTATTAAAATGGTTATGTTCTAATAAGAAGCAATGAATCATGTTGATGTAAAGTGATCGAGCAATTTATATATATGGGGATGATCAGTCTGGCCGGAAGACCTTTAGCTTTTTTTTCATAAAATCTTAATAGTACATTCCAAAGACATGATTTTTTTATCATTCATAGTACTTATCTAGAGTTAACGATTTACTATCATTTCGACCATATGCCCTGCATAAAATCAATATAACGAAAGATATGTTCGAAGCTCCGTAGCTAACTTTGAGACAAGTTATTTTAAAATTTAATAATACATATAAAATTTGCTCATTAACGAGAAATAAAGACAAACACATCCTCGCTGTTCATAGAAATCTTCAAATTGCATAGATCACTATCAAAGAAGTCGACAGAAAGAGAAAATATTCTCGATATTTCGCTAAATATTTGCCAGTTCTCACGCTTCAAGTACAGTCCACGTGCTGGATATGTAATTCATTTCTACGTTTCACTTCTTTATTTTTATTATCCTTTCAATCCTCTTTTCTTTCCATTTGGCCATTCCTTCTGCTTTGATATATCTCCACTAAAGTGATATAAACGAATATCTATTTTAATAATGGCATCTTCTTCGCATATTAAATGGAACTGCCCGGAATGTCAAGATAATGATAGTGGTTGCCGTAAATTTTGTAGCAATTGTCATTCAATGTTAGTTTGGACATGCCTTCCTTCTGAAAAATCTGGTTTATATAGTAATTTTTCTCGACATTGTCAAAGATGTAATTACTGTTCACCAGAACGTGAAGAAGAACGAAAACAATTAAAAGATGAGAAACAGATATCGAAGATACAGAATCTTGAAACACTATATGCTGGTGAGTGTGATTCATTCAATCAATCTGCATAAGAATTTCCGACTCATTATGCAATTGATCTCGAATGAATAATAGAAAAAAATATTTCAATATCTAACATACTTTCGATATTGTAGATCAATATCCATGGTCAGAATGGAGTCGTAGTGATAATTCTTGTAAACAGCATACAGGACTGGATCTCGAACAAGTGCAACTATTATACGATATGTGTGAGCAATCGATCGTAGAATACTGTGCGAATCGAAAACAACAACTTACACAAAATACAAATGTACCATTTTTATCTCCTATCAATCTACTTTCAGTCACGTTGTGGTATTTAAAACATTATCATTCCGAGCGCTATATTGCAGCAGAACTTCACTTCAGTCAAACAACAGTCAATTACTTTCTATCAGCGATGATAGATATTCTCTACCGTTGTGTATATCAAAAACTAGTTGTATTACCTGATGATATGGATGACGAAGATACTACTCATGGACCTGAACAATACCACAAACTAATAGTTGACTCGACTTGTATCTCAATTGATCAACCTGAAGATCGTGAAGAACGTAAAACCTATTACCACGGGAAAAGTCCGACTAATTATGGGTTTAAAGTGCAGATAGCTTGTGATTTTCGTCATCAAATTGTACATGTCTCGGAGTGTTTTAAAGGCAGTGTACACGACTTAACCATTCTCAGAGAATCCGGGCTCTTAGAATGCGTAGAAGACAATGTCCAAATCATTGCTGATAAAGGTTATATTGGTGAACCATATGTAGTAACTCCGAGAAAAAAACCTCGCGGTGGTGAACTTACAACCGAAGATAAAGATTTTAATCGAAATATCTGTTCCGCAAGAGCAGCTATTGAAAATATCAATCAACGTATGAAACAATACGCGATTATAGGACATGTTTACCGAGGATCTTATGGTGACTTCGACAAGATTACTAAAATCACACGCGTAGTTTCTGCTCTTTGTAATCTTAATTTGGATAAACATCCTATTCGCAAGGATTGATTCTATTAGATCTTTTTTTGAAATCTAGTTTTGATCCTAATAAATCAGGAGAAAAATCACAGTGAATAATTCTCATAAAAATTGATTTAACAAAAGAACTTCTGAAGCACCCTTCGTTATATTGATTTTATGCAGGGCATATGGTCGAAATGATAGTAAATCGTTAACTCTAGATAAGTACTATGAATGATAAAAAAATCATGTCTTTGGAATGTACTATTAAGATTTTATGAAAAAAAAGCTAAAGGTCTTCCGGCCAGACTGATCATCCCCATATATATATTTATAGACACTTGTCTTTCTATTCACAAGTAGTGTAACTATAGCATTGAAACCGTTTGATCGAAAGACATGCCAAGCGACAACGAAAATCAACAAGTGACTGTCTCATTGATGAATGAAAATGAGAGGCCATTGACCACAAGTATCGACAATGAAGTGGCAGTTAGCTCGCGTACAAATTACTGTACCAAACAGCGTCTCGTCGGTTTCGGTGTTCCGATCATTTTTGTCTTACTCATATTTTTATTTCTTGGTTTACTAATCTATGACTTGCGAAAGTGGAATTCAGATTGCAAGACTTCACTTTCTTCTAGAAAAAAATCCAATCTGTGTAATTTTCAAATTGCTTTTTACTTGAATATCAATGGGAACAGTTTCAATGGTCGGATGACTGAACATTTTCGCTTTGAATTGCTTCTATGTTCTACCTTATCGTGACTATGTTAGAACATTTTAGTTCACCTTTGAGATAGTGAAATAACAGGAAATGGAATGAAGACATGATTTTTTGTTCGTTATTTTTTTTTGTATAATTATTTTCAATTGTATGTGTTCTATTTCGACAACGAAATACATCAATCGCAACCAACTGATAAATGCAAAAATGATAGGCATAGTGTTTCGAGCAAAGTGAAAGACAAATGTATTTGAGAACATAAGCATGAATGATGACTGATTCATAACCCAGAAAATAACTGATGCCTATTGAAACAGCGATGCTTGAACGAGGCAATAGATCACGGGGATGTACGGTACTTGAGCGAAACATACTTTCATCTTCTCATCAACTCGACTAGTGATAAGTGTTCTATCATCTAACTAATCTTAATCCGGAAAATGTTGAACGCACATGAGCAATAAGTGGCTGTCGCATGGATAGATAATCACCAAACAACAGTGAAAAGAAAAGAGAAAGTAGAACAGAGAGCTCAAAGAACAAATATCGTACGAACGAATATTTACTTCGTATCGGGAACCAATCACTGTGATTATTTTTGGACTATTATTGGTTGATATAATGGTTTATCTAATACGAAATAAAATTCAATCTTTGAGCAAACGGAAGAAGCAAATTGTTGAAGAATACTCATAAGAAAAGTATGGTTTTCTCAACCTAATTAAACAGTTCAATGGAGAAAGATATCGATGGTAGGGATGAGTTGAAAGAGAAGAATTACTAGATTCAAAGTACTTCATATGACGAGATTGGTTTTTCCTTTGATGTTAATGGTTTTTGTAATAGAATGGTTCAGATAATAGTCGATGGGTTAATGTTATCTTTTGAGATGGATAGTAGTTTGTTCATAGAAGTTTATATCAAGTGTTTGGATCTCCGCATATTTATTGTGTACAAGTTTATGTAAAAAAGGATAAGGTTACACGTTGGTTGCATACAGATAAGAGCACGATTGGTTCTCGTCACCAATCTCACTCTTGTTTTATCAACAGGTGATCCTAGACAAGCATAATACTTTCTTCAACAAATCATAAAATTCTTCAGAAATACTGAGGGTGTGGAGTGGTGTTATGGTGTAGGTTAAGAGAAGAACCACATCCACACTCACACCCTCAAGTTTCTTTGTCATTACCTTCCGCTTGCCAATCACTGGATTTTCGAATTGATACTTATGTGAATTTATTGTATGCCATTTTAACTGCTACCCCTTCTTGATGAAATTATAAACATAAGCATCAATTGAAAACATCGCAGTCTTCTCATTAAAAGTGTTTATTTAACAACTTATGTTAGCAGCTAGTTGATCTCCTATATGATTATGTTCTCATACGGTGATTGTAGACGAAAGCAGAAAGAAGTACAAATTTAAGTTCTCTGATAATCAAAAGTTCAGAAAATATGAAGAAATAACATATACGGATGAAACATGAACAATTAAGGAAAGCAATTGCTAACTCGTTGCTTGCTGGTGCACTGTCTATGTTCATGTGCAATGCTTACATGGAAGCGACAATCCGTGGCAGATTTATGAAACGCTAGAGACGATCGTCTCTCTGGTCAAAGATTTTTTTTAATGATTTTTTCCGGTAGAAAAGCGCCAAAAGGGAGCTGATTAGTGTTTTGCGTGACTGATATTTTTGGTCACGATCACGATCATAATCACGAAAAAAGTTTCTAATCACGAACGATCACGATCAGGAGCACAAAAAAAGTTTCTAATCACGCACGATCACGATCACGACGACGGAAAAATTTCTCAATCACGCACGATCACGCGTGATCGTGATCGTGAAATTCGCGATCACGCATAACACTAGTTGTCATACTTTTTCTCAGCTTTTTTTAATGTACTCTTTATTAAATTATGGGTTTTCTTTTTGTTTTTCTTATAAATAGGCAATGAACTATTAGATATTTTCTGGTTTAAATGTGAATATGATGCTTCTGAATAAATATTTAAGGTTTTGCAGATACTCGCTATGATTATGCTTACGAAATTTTTGCCTCAATCACGGTCACAATCACGAGAAAAGTTTCTAATCACGAACGATCACGAGCACAAAAAAAGTTTCTAATCACGCACGATCACGACCACGACGACGGAAAAAGTTCTCAATCACGCACGATCACGCGTGATCGTGACCGTGATCGTGATCGTGATCGTGAAATTTGTGATCACGCAAAACACTAGAGCTGATACTACTCCAAGCGGACTTCAAAACACGTTTTCTCATCACAATTACCGCTGCCAGCATAAAAATTCTAGATCCACCACTGTGAACTATAAAACTTATTGGGATATTGTTCATTTGTTCAGAATAATTTTTTTCAATAATTCATGAAAACTACGCCTGTTCTAGTTAATAAAGATGCTGCATATAAAACATTCTGACTTTTCATTAATTTTATCATGACAACGAATCTTAATCTACACAAAGGATCAAATTTGAAAAAAAGATTTTTATTAATCATTTGATGCAACAAACCATTCTGATGGCATCCACAATATTTCCAATAAGATATACCACTTCCATGGAAACATTACACATGGACATGTGGTTTCTCAATAAAGCCGTTTATATTAATTTTTAATAATTCGTCGCTATTAGGGACATTGTTTTTGCCGTCGATTTTTAAACATCTTCTATTTCCCTAGTGAAACATCCTTTAAGCAAGATCTTGACCAAGATACAGAAAAGTCAGTAGATCTTGGAAATTTAGATACAAGAAAATGAAAAAAATGTAGAAATTACTAAGAAATTTGAAATTTCTTGATTGTATCGAGTCGATCAAACTTTTGAAAGTCTTTATCGTGAAAAATATTTAAAAGACCATTTGAATAAAGTTTTTTGATTTTTAAATCCATGGATGATACAATTTTGTTTGAGAAAAAATATGCTTTTCAAACATCTCGTGAAGAAGGAAGCTCAGCTATCTTCTGCCGCTGGCTCCGCTACTGCTTACTATTTTATTTTGTGAAACACAATTCAAAAAGAGTGTTCAAGTATACAGAGTAGAAATTTGCACCCCCTTTCCCCATAAACCATGACAGACGGTGTCAATTGCGATAAACGCTGTTGTGTACAGAAGTTTATTTGTAAAATTTTATCAGATAATCTTCATATAGAAATAGAAGATATTTATATCAAATTTTAGATGAAAAGTGAAATAAAAAATATAATACCAGTAAGAAAATACATGAGTTATGGTGGGTGTGGGTATGGATGTGGGTGTCGGTGTGTGTATGGGTGGTGGGTGTCGGTGTGGTGAAATGATCCACATTCACACCCACACTCACACCCATCAACACTCACACCCACACCCCTGACTGAAGACCAAATGTCGAATAAAATGTGTTGAATATCTTAAGCATCGCGTTTTTTTGAATGTATCATAAATAAGAACTGTATTATCTGGAAGAATGAAGGAAACCATGTTTTCTAACTTATGCATGTTGAGTACAACTGTGAGACAAAGAAAGCATGGTTAGTGTCCTGCGTTTCCTAGAAAAGATCTCCGAGAACTGAATCGAAAACAATGTTAACATTATTGTGGTATAGGCGATTCGGTAGTTTTGATATTCTTAAAGCTTTATCGGACAAGGTAGAATAGTATATCGTTGCTCTAAAAACTTCAGTCGAGTGTTAAGCGAATCGCACAGCAACGAGCGTTACTTGTTTTTTTAACTCTAGAATGATGTAGTCTAAAATTTCATACGATGTCTACATCGCAAAATAATTGTAGAATCCTTACTTCTCTACCATTTATGTTGGATACCACGATTCAATATGTTTTTCTATGAAAAACTATCAAGAAAACATGAACTGTTTTCATTGTAGCTATGAACTAAAGCTATTTGTTTACTTTTTTATACATTTTTTTACATGAAATCCAAAGAAAATGATTAAATATTAAAAACAACTAATAATACGATAGAAGAGTCTGATAAATTAGATAGTCACTACCAGAAACAGAATCAGTTTAAGAACCTGTTGGATAACTGCAGTAACCAGAAAAACCACCGGTATGCTCTTCAGTTGTATTTAGAGTTTAATCAATCCAAATCACTGGAAATTAATGATAAAGTTTTATATTTATTTTCTAATAAAACATGTTATATGATAGATTAGGAAAAAATCATTCCTAAAAAAATTCCTTTAGAGTTTTGTTCCATATCAGTGTCAATTAGATCTGTGACAGTTCAAGATAGTGGAGTAACCTGATAAAGATTTCATTTTGATGTAAATTAGTTAATTCATTATATACGTTCATTTTAAAAATTATTAACATTAATGAATCTCTTTTTTCCTACTCCTAAAAATACCAGTCTTTTTAAATGATAAATCTAAGTACGAAGATTAGGTAGAATCAATGTTGATAAAATGAACTTATATTTTAACTGTTCCTGAAACAGTAAATTGGGTGTGGGCGTCAGCTCTCTTTATCAATATCTAAATTCATACATTACAGCCACATCCTTACATTAAGTGCCATTTAATACGGATTCATTTTTCTCTTTTTTCTACGCTTTACTTGCTCTGCTTACGTGTTATTCGTTTCGATGGTGAATAATGAGAAAAATAATTTTATGGTTGACGTTCTATTGGTTCAAAGTAGCTATAGTTCTACACTCATTACCACTTACCAACAACGATCTTGGAGAATCGGCTTCTAAAAAATAATTTATTTCAATTAACATTTGTTGTTCTCTTCAAGGAATCGAACAGCAAAAACAAGAACTCACCGAGAAATGTTTGGCTTCCAGCGCCCTATCCGGTGGATCTTGTGATATTGATTGGATGATTCATCGGATTTAACATGTTCAATTCAGTTTAGTATGCTATTCATTTCATATACTTCACCCTTAGTTTGAAAAGTTTAATAAGACATTTTGATGTTAAATAAATTGGTTAATAATCGTTTAAGTTTTGTAGTTTTTTTTGCAAAACGTTTAGCAAGTATTCGATTTAATGTTAATTTAGGTGAACAAATGAAAATGTTAAACAATAACAAACAATTCGAGAGGGCACTTGAATTATTTGATAAATACAGAGAAGAAACAACTATTGAAAAATGCTCGAATTGGATTATAATTCAAGCTTTAAAAGCATGTACTGAAATTGGTGACCTTCAACGTGGTTCGAATATTCATAATCTTCTTTCATCTCGATTAAAACATGATCCTTATGTATTACCATCATTAATTCATCTCTATAGTAAGTTTATTCAATAAACAGGAAGAATCGTAGTTTCATTACTTTTGGGTGTGGATGTGGGTGAGTTTTAAGATAAGATCAACCCACCCACACTCACATCCTAAAATAATAATAAAATAATAAATAAAAATATAAGAATAACAATCATAAGATAAAAATAGTAACACAAATGAAATAAAAAAATAAAAACAAAAATAACAATAAGAACCCAGAAATAAAATCAACTAATAAAATAAAAATGAAAAGAACATAAAAAGCTTGTTAGCATATCTTCTGCAGACCTGAAATGTGGAGCTCACGTATACCTTTAGCTTTGTTATTCTGCCGAATCATCTTTAAAGTGAAAGACTCCTTGCCACCTATAGTTGTTTTCACCAACAAGCGACGAAAAGAGCGAGAATTTATTATCTATTTCTATATTGAAAGCAGAAAATATCTTTTGTGGAACTCACGTATATTTTCGAAGAAAATAGTGAGTGTAAGTTTTAAGTTCGAGGTTTTACGGCTCCCCCCCCCCCTCCCCTTACAGACCATAGCAACCAAAAAGAATATTACATACACGTATTCATCAAATAGTCGATGGTGGAGAAAAATAACTTCAAATTAGAAAACAAAAAAAAAGATTATTATCGAGTATATAACAATAATTATAAATGAAATCGAGCGCGCTTAAATGAAAAAAACAATATTTTCTTTTTAATATATATTTTTAATATACAAATAAATAATAAATTCCCGCTCTTTTCATCGATTCTCAAGGAAAACAACTATAGTTGACGAGAAGTCTTTCAGTATACAGATGATGCGTCAGGCAACAAAGCTAAAGGTATACGTGAGTTCCGCATTTCTGCTCCGCAGGAACTGCGCTAACAAGCTTTTTCATTTGAGTGCGCTCGATTTCATTTATAATTATTGCTATATACTCGATAATAATCATTTATTTTTTTTTTTAATTTAAAATTACTTTTCTCCATCGTCGACTATTTGATGAATAGGACTTTTAAAATAATGCAGTTTATATGCATTTGCAACTTCTACTACACTACCTTATATCTGAATGAATTCATAATGGTGATATTGTTTATTTTTCGCACTGATAAAAAGATCGAATCATAATTCTCATATTAATTATATGATTGCTATGACAGATTATTCTATATTATTACTCTACATCCGTGATTTTTAACATGCAAGTTCAAATTATAAAGAAAAGGTTCACGACTACACTATTACGAACTTTAACAAATATATAATAGTTTTTTGAAATAACTATGAAAATATTGAAATATTGTATAGCAATTGAACTTATATTCTTCATACTGTTTAACTCGTTTTTTTTTATTGTTTAATAAATCGGCAGCGTTTTTGCGTGGCTATTGGAGTCTGTAATTGGGGAGAGGAGGTCTTATGTAATGTTCTCTTTCGTTGCTATGGTCTGTAAGAGGAGGAGGTGCCGCGAAAACTTGAACTTAAAACTTACACTGACTATTTTCTTCGAAAATATACTTGAGTTTCACAAAATAAGAACATAATAAAAAAAGAGAAGATATTCATACCCATAAAATCATCTAAAAACAATCAAGGAATTTCACCTACCTGACTATAAATAACAACAACAGTAACCATAAAAATCATAATATTAATAATAATAAGGACAACAATAAAACGGAAATAATCATAATAATATTAAAATTAATAATAATAAAGGAAGAATCAATATTTACAATAATCAATAATAACATACTCAAAACTCGAACGTAATACAAAAATTAAATAAGGGATCCTGATTGCTAATCAAATTCAAACCCAAATCACAACATCATCAAGTTATTTATGTCATCAATAAAAATAAGCAACAATCAACGACAAACTCTTTCTTATAGAAATGTAAACACCAAAGTTAAAGGAATTAAAAAAATAAAAATATATGTATATAAATTGTAAACTGTAACTTTTTTCTCTCCATACAATATTTCAGTGTAGCATCCCTGACGATGTGCTCAGAATAGAGCATGAAAGCTTGAGTATTATTTTATTTTATGTTTTGAAATAAAAATATTTTATTTACGGCAGTTATTATTTTTTTCTTATTTATAAAATTTGAATATATTTATATAAATAGTACATAGAAATTTCTTGATTTACAATTGATTCATTTTCCTTCTATAAACTGCTTTTACTTCTATAAATTGCTTTTACTTCTATAAATTGCTTTTCCCTCTAGAGATTGCTTTTACTTCGAGAAATTACTTTTACTTCTAGAAATTGCTTTTTCTTCTAGAAACTGCTTTTCCTTCTAGAAATTGCCTTTACTTCATAGTATAGGCTGTTTTTCTTGTTTTAATAGAATGAACGTATATACTCATATTTAATTGTGTATAAAATTTTTTCTAATTAATATAAACTCTTCCTTATAACCGATATTGCTTGATAGTTTCTGCAGTTTCTCTTATTGTATAGAATAGAGCGCTCGTCCTCTGATAAAATATATACAAATGTTGACATGAATTATATGTTAAGATTACGGTAATTACTAGAACTTCTTCAAAGATTTCAAAATTAATTAATGTGGTTTCACAAGAAAAAAAGAGTAAAAAAAACATACGAGAAATGAAAGAATAAGCAAATAGCGATAATTCAAACCAATAGTGTATGAGTCGGAGGAAGAAAGTTTTGTCAGAAATGCAGAAATAACTGTGACAGATTATTTTCAAACCAATCCTTTATGTTGATAAGCAAATATTATTCGCAATAGGTTTTTCACTTTATATCTCTCGAATTTCTATCAAGATCAGAATTCAATGTAGTAGGATGTCATTTGGATAACTTTTAATAGGAACAGGACAGGGGCATGCGGTTCTCGGCAGAAAACGATGTACAACATGCAATCATCTTGATTTTCATTAGTCTAAGAATCTAACAGAGAGATGAATCTGTCAAAAAATTTTTGAGAGTGAGTTTCTGGAAAAATTTTGCATTCCACTTTGACACTTAAGACCTATCATCCTGTGAAGACAATAATTCTATTCTCTTTCTATCTACGCAAGGCTCACATTTCTATCACATTCTTCCAAGAAATGATGAAATTTTCCAAATAGATAACCTTTTGGCTCGTTAATAACTGAGAACTCAAAAAATGTTTGAAAAGGGATTATTTTTTTATGCGGAATTTACTGTTAATAGTTGCTTTTCATTTCAAAGTAATCTGACATCTTTTTAGCACGCTTTCAGCAACTTCATATTGCCGCACTATAGGATCGAAGAAGACACGTTTTTGAATTTCTGTGTATAGATGTCTGATCACTGTGAAATGACAAACCGAATTCAACAATGGATTCAATATGACAAATTACTCTGTTCTAGACATCATTTTGAGGGATCGGGTGAGTAATAACATTCAGTTTGTAGAAAACTTTAATATTTCTTGGAAAGACAGTGATAACAATGTGAACCAAGTATAGATTGAAAGAGAAGAATATTTTATGTAGAATAATAGTTTTTAGAAGTCAATATGGAGTGCAAACTGTCTTCAAAAACTCGTCCTCCAAACTTCTGTTGAGAGATTGATCTCTCTGATAACTTCTGCGATCGATAAAAAGCGAGATGACTGTATGCTCTCTTCTGTTTTCTCTCGATTTCTGAAAACCCATTTTTCTATCTTCTTCCTATCGAAAGCTATTCATCTTCGTTCAATTTTAAAAGGTTACGGTAGCAGTATTTTCCTATCTGACTTTGTAGACATTAATAGAAAAATTTTGTACTCAAATTTACTTCGTCGTTTTTTTGTATAAAGGTAATAAGTTTCTGCTAATATCTTGGCGCCTTATGTGAGAGTAAGAACTAGGGGTTGGCCAGCTAGGTTCACGAACTCCGTTTAAATGAGTTAAAGAACTTCTCGAACAGTTCTTTTGTACGAACTGAACTGTTTCAAAAGAGTTCGCTTCCAATGAACTAAACTGTTCGAACAGTTCTTTCGAACGAACTGAACTTTTCAAACAGTTCTTTTCGAATGAATTGAACTTAAAGTTAAAATAGATACTCTCCTACGAACGTACTCATAGGTTCTCAAGGGCCATCTTAAAGGAGTATCCACAGGTCCTCGAGGGTTATCCTATGGAGGTACTGTTGAGGCCCCAAGCCCCACTATAGGAAACACCCCTAGATCCTCAATTCCTACTATTCAGGGGTATCATTGGATCCTCAAGCCCTACTATTGAGGGTACCCTTAGATACTTAAGTCGCAGAATTCAAGGGTACCGTTGAATCCTGAAGTCCTACTATAAGGGGGCACCGTTAGGTCCTCAAGTCCTACTTATTGAGCGGTACTCTTCTGCTCTCAAGTTAAACTATAGAGATACCCATAGGTCGTCAAGTCCTACTATTGGGAGATAATCATGCGTCCTCAAGTCCTATTATTCAGAGTAATTTTCGTCCTCTAGCATTGTATTTAGAGCTACACTTGGGTTCTCAACAATCACTGGCAGTATGAGATGAAAGCACACACATTCCAGAACCCAACTAGTGAGAAAATAGATTACTCAGCTTGCGCATCTTATTTCTCCGTGACATACAGCTCGGAGCCCTAAACAAACACATCACGTACGATAGAGTGCCCTGGAAAACTCTAAGATCTTCCCAAACATCACTTGTGAACTTTTTCTTTCCTATTGTTCGAACAACCGCTAGTCATCTTCGGGTCAAACCTAGAATTATCGAGGATGCTCTACCGACTGAGAGCAATATGTATGGGACTTGGTCGTTTCTATCATCGACAAATAGAAACTTTCAATTTGATTGGTCAAAAAATGAACCAATCATATTTCAGGAGGCATTTTCTTTCTTATTGTTCGGACAACCACTAGTCATGTTCGGGCCAATCCTACCGTCATCGAGGACACTATCGAATGAGGCGTATATGTATGGGCCTCGGTGCTTTCTATCAGTGACAAATAGAATCTCCCAGTCTGATTAATCCCTAGTTGATCAAGCAGATTTTTGATTGCCTTTTCCCGTATTA